ACAATTTCCTCTCTATGTATTTTCTCCTTCACATCTCCTCCCCCTCTCTCTCCCTTAAAGATAGGTAGGTCTAAGACAGACAAAAGGTGGTTGGGAACCAAGAAGTAAGAAGAGAGAGAAGAGAGAGAGAGGAAGAAAGAGATAGGAGTGTGAGGAGTGTCAAAAGAAAACTACAAGAAACCAAAAAAGGAACATCCCAAAAAAGATGCTAAACATGTCCAGTCACACCAGTTTTTGCCAATCGATTAGCTGCTGAATTCGTTTCTCGCCAGATACGAGGGAAGGTGACTTGAAGTGGCCTGCTGAATGTGCTAGTCCACTAATTCTTAGTTATTCTGTTATTCACTTGGAGTAAATGGTTCTTTTACCTTTAGAAAGAAGGTCATCCTGTCATGGCACCTCTGTTGATTGCTTTATATTTGCTGTTGGATGATGTTTGTGAAGACGAGTTTTCGAGTATCAGGTTTGTTATATCTAAATTTTAACATTCCATTTTTAATGATAGGACAAATTTCAATTAAAAAACAACAGAATTAAATCGAATGTGAAATGGAAGTATTCAAGGGGCCAAAGAGTTAATGAAGTGGTATATGCATTATTATTATTTGGAAAATTGTTTCATGGGGGCCAGACCTCATTTCTACATATACGGTCCAGAAAGTGTAAAGCATCCATCTTAAAGATGGATGCAAGTAGGTGTTCCATCTAAGACTAACGGTCCAAATGTTTTCTTACTAGAATTATTATTTTTAGTTTTTAAAGTTTATTTATTTATTCATATTCATGATCTCCATGTTAGAGATTACATATCCTTAAAAATTAAGTCTTAAAATCCATCTCAAAAATAGATTTATTAAGAGGCCCACATTTCTACATATGCGGGCTTAGATGCATAGAAACCGGGTCCTTTATAATTTAAGTTTGGGAATATTATTCATTTTTTATTTTGAATGAAAACTTGTAATTTGATTCATTCAAGCAATAGGGGGACCATACGGTTTATGTAAACATTTCATGCCTAGGAAAGTACTTGCTAAATGCTTTTTGGTTTTATACTTTATTGCAGGTTCCTGCTTCTATCAACTGTCGGCTTCTTGAGCATCAACGAGAGGGAGTGAGGTTCTTGTATGGTTTGTACAAGAACAATCATGGAGGTATTCTTGGAGATGACATGTGAGTTATCTCATTTATTTCATTCAATAAGATATATGAAATAATTGAATTCTCTCTTTACTTTCCATTGGTTTCATTCACCGTATGTGTGTGCATGCCACACATGCCTACGTGTGTGTCTGTCTTTTTGTCTCTTTTTTTGTGTATGTACATGGGTGCATGTGTGCGTGTGCGTGTGCGTGTGCGTGTGCGTGTGCGTGTGCGTGTGCATGCATGTGTGCACGTGCATGCATGCGTGTGTATGCGTACGTGCTTGCATCGTGCGTGCATGTTACGTGGATTATTCTTGTTCTTGCACTCTCCTTTCTGTGGGTAGATGGTCTTATATGTTTGATGGTATTTTTGACATACTTATATCCTCGGTGGAAATGAAAGAGAAGCCAGTGGCAACTTAAGCCCATAGGTAGCAAAATGCCTGTGGACCGCAGAAGCCCTGACCAAATAAGCCTTATTCTGAGAAGCCTTGAGGATGATGTCAGATCGGCCCCAAATTAGTCACATGAGTTCCCCATGACAATACAAGGGTTCCCACCAAGTTTCGTTCAATTTCGATGCAAATTGGGGAAAACAAGTAGAAATCAGTTTTCAGCCTAGGCTCCTAACATGCCTACGGTGCACCATAGCCAGGACCCTAGTCCAGAGGCTTCTAGTGACCATGGGGCCAAATTTCGGTGCCAATCTGACCCTTCTAGGTCCTGCTGCCCAAAAATGGCAGGTTTCTAGTGACTTACGGTACAACGCATTTGGGAAAGCCTACTATAGGGACCTCCAATGACTGTGGGACCATTGTCAATGGACTTGGGAGGTTAAGAATAGTCACCATGCCAAATTTCGACGCAATCTGACCTTCCTAGGTCCTGCTGCCCAAAACTAACAAGTTTTTAGCAACTTACGGTACACCACAATTGGGTATACCTACGCTAGAGACCTCCAATGATTGTGGGACCACCACCATTGAATTCGGGAGGCCTATAACAGTTACCATACCAAATTTTAGCTCATTCCGACTTTCCGAGGTCGTACTTTCCAAAAGTGGTAACTGTTTTACTATTCACTTGGCCAAGATGAAGCAGTTACTATTTATAGTAACTGTGTTTTTGCAAAAACAGGAAACTTTAGAAGCTTAGATGTCCTGCGTTGTGAAGCGGATCAGGCCAAAATTCGAGTATTGTTGTTCCCTCCATCGTGCTCGACGTTTTGACAGGTGGTACGCCCCGTGGGAGCTCTCGGATTGGGATAAATCCTAGAAAGAAGATCGCCAAAAAACATGAAATTGCAGGAAAATTACAGCTGCGTATCTCCTCGTTCAAACACTCATATCTTAAGATTCCGGACCCTCACGACTATAAGGCAAAATCCGTTGCGACCACGACTTAGAGGGGGTCGTTTTGAGTACCCACAAGCTCGGAATGAAGGCCCTATTAATGCTTCATAGTAGGCACATTTTTTTGGCGACCAGAATCCTGTTTTCTGGTGACTTCTACAATTTAGAAAGCGACGATCCGATAAACAAATTGAGGGATTTTTATCACAAAACGACCGCAATGGTATTTCCATCAATTTGTGATGAAGAAATTGACCCGAAACATCATGAGATGATCAAGATCAAACATTGAATATCTCAAGTTTATGTGTTTTGGCCGGATTTTCAAAGTGAGATTAAAACGTTCGATCCAAGACGAAAAGTGGATATCAATTGAACGTCTCATCGAGCCCATCGTTTGTATATCGTTATTTTCATTGGAAGATTGCCGGAAGCACCTGAAAATGACCTTGAACTATGGCTATAGCTTATGGAACTTTTTTTGGGACTATTTGGCATTTCAATGATTCTGGTTAGGGGCAATTTTCAACAATTTTAAAAATAAGTCAATTTGCTCCAAAAACTGGATTTACTTTTTAATTTAAGGAAATGTAATTTTCAACGATTTCCTTTGCTTTTCATCATCCACCCATATTTCAAGGAGATGATATATAAGCTTCTTAAGTCATTTGTGACCTAAGGTGGATGTAAGTTGTAATGGTGTAATAGAATTTGAAGCTTTCCCCCTTTAGCTCGTGATTTTGTTCTACCCTTCTAGCCTTGAGAGAGGGGAGAGAGAAAACTTTACCCCCTCTTAAAAATACCCTTGGAACTCTTCACTCCCAACCTCCACTTCCTACTTCTAACTTGGAACTCCCCGCTTCCAACTGCAAAGCCCTAACTTTCGAACTCCCTACTTTTGAACTCTCCACTCCCACATCTTAAGGTATTCCTCTCTTTTCTCTCTTTCTCTCTCTACTTTTTCTCCCTTTACTTGGAGAGAGAGAGAGTGGACCGGCAGCTAGAGAGGGAGAGATAGGGAGAGAGAGGTAGAGTGGGTCGGTGGCCTAATTGCTAGTTCGTGAGAGGAGAGAGAAAGAGAGAAAAGAAGAGAGAGAAGAGAGAAAGAAGAGAGAGAAAAGAGGGGCTGATGGCCTAGCCGTCGGTCCGCGCTAGTGAGAGAGAGATAGGGGAGAGAGAGAGTGGACCAGCGGCCTAGACATCGTCTGTGCTAGTGAGAGAGGGAGAGATAGGGGAAAAGAGATAGGAAGAGTGGGCCAGTGGTCTAATTGCTGGTTCAGGATAGAGTGGGCCGATGGCTTGGCCGCGGGTCTGTGAGGGGAGAGAGAGAGAGAGAGAGAGAGAGAGAGGAGAAGAGAGAAAGAGAGAGAAGAGAGAGAAAAGAGAGAAGGATGAGAGAAGAGAAAGAGAGAAAATAAAGAAAGAGAAAAGAGAGAGAGAGACAGAGAGAAAAGAGAAGAGAGAGAGTGAGAAAAGAAAAAATGAAATAAAGAAAGAGAAGAGAGGAAGAGAAAGAAAGAGAAGAGAGGAAGATAAAAAACGAGAAAGAGAAGGAGAGAGAAATTAGAGAGAATGAAGGCAGAGAGAAGAAGGAGAAAAAGTAGAGAGAGAAAGAAGAGAGAAGGAAGAAAGAGAAAATAGAGAGAGAAAGAAGAGAGAAGGAAGAGAGGAAAAGTAGAGAGAAAAACGAGAGAAAGAAGACAGTGAAAGTAAATGAAAAGAAGAGAAAATAGAGAGAGAAGAAAATGTAGAAAGAGAAAGTAGAGAGAGAAAGAAGAGAGAGTAGAGAGAAACTGAGAGAGAGAAAATAGAGAGAAAGAAGAAAGAGAGAGAAAGAAGAGAGAAAAGTAGAGAAGAGAAAAAAAGTAGAGAGAGAAAGAGAGAAAAGTAGAGAGGAAAGTAAAGAGAAAAAGTAGAGAGAAGAGAGAGAAAGTAGTTAGAGAAAGAAGAGAGAGAAAGAAGCAGGAGAAAGAAGAGAGAAAGTAGAGAGAAAAGTAGAGATAGAAAAAGTAGATAAAGAAAGAGAAAAGAAAGATGAGAGAAAAGAGAGGAATACCTGAAGATGTGGGAGTGGAGAATTCGAAAGTCGGGAGTTCGAAAGTTGGGGCTTTGGAGTTGGAAGTGGGGAGTTCCAAGTTGGAAGTAGGAAGTGGAGGTTGGGAGTGAAGAGTTCTAAGGGTATTTCTAAGACGGGGTAAAGTTTTATCTCTTTTTTCTCTAAAGGCTAGAAGGGTAGAACAAAATCGCAAGCTAAAGGGGGAAAGCTCCAAATTCTATTATACCATTAAAACTTACATTCACTTTTGTCACAAATGACTTAAAAAGCTTATATATCATCCTTTTGAAACATAGGTGGATGATGAAAAACAAAGGAAATTGTTGAAAATTACATTTTCTTAAATTAAAAGTAATTGCCGTCTTTGGGGCAAAATGATTATTTTGCCCCAAGTCAGAATCATGAAAATGACCAAATGGTCCCAAAAAAGGTTCCATAAGCTATAGCCATCAATGTTAGTTTCGAGTGCTTCCAGCAATCGTCCGATGAAAATAACGACGTAGAAACAATGGGCTCGATGAGACGTTCGATGTAAGCGATGGTCTTGGATCGAACGTTTAATCTCACTTAGAAAATCTGGCCAAAACACATAAACTTGAGATCTTTGATGCTTGATCTTAATCATCTCGTGATGTTTCGGGTTGATTTATTCATCACAAATTGATGGGAATACCGTTGCGATCGTTTTGTGATAAAAATCCCTCAAGTTGGTTGCCGGATCGTCGTTTTCTAAATTGTAGAAGTTGCCGAAAAACGAGATTCCGGTTGCCGAAAAAATGTGCCTACTTTGAAGCATTAATAGAGTGCCTTCCGGGCCTTCATTCCTAGCTTGTGGGTACTCAAAACGACCCCCTCTAAGTCATGGTCGCAACGGACTTGGCCTTGTAGTCATGGGGCTTCGGAATATTGAGATATGAGTGTTCAAGAGAGGAGATACACGACTGTAATTTTCCTGCAATTCCATGTTTTTTGGCGATCTTCTCTTTAGGATTTCTCCCTATCTGGGAGCTTCCACGGGGCGTGCCACTTGTCAAAACATAAGGCACGATGGAGGGAATAGTAAAAACATAGTTACTATAAATTGTAATTGGTTCATCTTAGTCGAGTGAGTAGTAAAAAAAGTTACCATTTTTGGAAAGTAAAACCTCGGAAGGTTGGAATGAGCTGAAATTTGCTATGGTAACTATCCAATGGTGGTGGTCTCACAATCATTGGTGGTCTTTAGAGAGGTTTCCCTAAATGTGGTACTGTAAGTCGTTAGAAACTCGCCAGTTTTGGGCAGCAGGACTTAGAAAGGTCAAATTGTGTCGAAATGTGGCATGGTGAATGTTCTTAACCTCCCAAGTCCATTGGCGGTGGTCCCATGGTCACTTGAGGTCCCAAGAGTGGGTTTCCTCAAATGCGGTGTACCGTAAGTCACTAGAAAGCTGCCATTTTTGGGCAGAAGGACCTAGGAGGGTCAGATTGCATCGAAATTTGGCATGGTGACTGTTCTTAATCTCCAAAAGTCCATTGGCGGTGGCCCCATGGTCATTGGAAACCTTTGGAGTACGGTCTTGGCTATGGTGCATCCTAGGCATGTTAGGAGCCTAAGCTGAAAATTGATTTCTACCCGCTTTCTCCAATTTGCATCGAAATTGAACGAAACTTGGAGGGAAACCTTGTATTGTCATGAGGAAATCCTGTGACTAATTTGGGGATGATCTGACATCATCCTCGGGGCTTCTCAGAATAAGGTTTATTTGGTCAGGGCTTCTACGGTCCACTGGCATTTTGGTACCTACGGGCTTAAGTTGCCGCTGACTTCTCTTTTATTTGCATCAGGGATATAAGTGTGTCAAAAATACCATCAAACACTGTAAGCAAGGAGTTTCCCTTTTTGGTTTTTGGTTTGTAAAGTGTCTATGACTACTGGATATGTTTGGTTCTTTGATTTCTTTTCTCCTTTTACCTGGGTTATTTCATGTTTGCCTCTATCTATTGCAATTGGTTGCTGGGAGCTCGTACTGCTAGTGGTGTTGCTCCTATAACCTATGCTCCCTTGGAAATTTCTAAGAGGAAATGACTCTCTTTCTCTCCTCATCCTGCTTCCGCTTGAATTGGTATTTCCTGGCCTTTTCAATGTTACAATTGACTGAACTATGGCCATGTTTCAGCAGAATCACATTTCTACTTTTATCTGTTTCACAAAACTTATTCACATTGGTCTTTTGAGTGATTGTATTTTATTTCAAAGGTATATTTGTCATTATATTATTAATAACACCTTAAATTGGCCACAAAATACGCACGAGATATTAGAAAAGTAACATTTTGATCTCAATTTTCTGCATTCTCCTATTTCATTTTGAGGCCTTTCACAGGAGTGAGGGAAATAATTTGAAGGGCCTACTAAATTGATATCATTCCAAATATTCTGTAATAGGTGAAACTAGTGGTTTAAAAAACGAATTGGTGCCCTGGATCGAGCATCCCAAAAACGCATATGGATCGGTGCATCGGCGATCCGGATCGAAAATCGGCCGAATTGGTCCGATTAAGCATTACAAAAAATCTAAACGAATTATTACAATTCATTATAAATGTTGTTTTTTATGAATCCAATAAGAAATACGGGTATTACATTATTAACTTTCATTTTTTTATCAATTTACAAATATTGAGATGCTCTTTCCCTGTATGAACTTATGTTAACCATTAAATTTGCATCACATAAAAAAAAAAACATAGAATTATCATGGATAAAGTATATAATCATACATAAACTACAATAAATAATGAATTAAATCAATGAAAAAATGGTCACTAAAATCTCGAATTGGCTGAAAAACCCTAATCCGCTAAAAAAAAACCCATATTATTACATCCTAACTAACTATAATCCAAAATTATTGCAACCTAACTAACTACAATATTATACACTGAAATTGAAATTGTTGGTTTACATTTTATAATTATTTTATTATATAAATAATAACAAATTCAAAATATTTTATAATATCATTTAATTTAAAATGTATTATTGACTACTGTAAGAAAAATAGTACATTACATGATTTATAATGCAAATAAATTAATAAAAAATAAAATATTTGGTTATCAATGTAGAAATTATTAGAATGCGTATCAATTTTCGAAATAACACTTTAATTTTTCAAAAATTTAATTTTTTAGATTTCTAGAATAAATTTAGTGGAAGAGATTGTTCGTAGAGATAGAGTGATATTTCAAATGGTTTCATTGTATGAACCCTATCTTAAAATTAATATTCCTAAATTTATGTTAAAGATTGCCATATTATAAAAATAAAAATTATAATTAGATCAGTTATTCCTAGTTTGTATTAAAAAATACTTGTTGTATTAAGAAATACCTTTTATTTTTTTGACAAGAAATACTTGTTGTATTACTTTTTTTTTTTTGACGAGAAAATATGATACTTGTTGTATTACCTTTTATTTTTTATTTTTGAGAAGAAAAAAAAGAAGATGTTGTATTACCTTTTTTTTTGCATGCTGTGTTAATTTTTATTTTTTTACAAGAAAATAAGAAAATGATGCTGCCAAAGTACCTTTTATTTTTTATACCTTTTATTTTATTTTTTGACAAGAAATACTTGTTTTATTACCTTTTTTTTGTTTTGCAAGAAAAAAAAGAAGATGCATTGTCTTTTTTCTTTTTTGGCAAGAAATGTTTGTTGTATTACCTTTTATTTTTTTGATGATATTATTTTCTTCCTTCTATTCTTTTTTTTGAAGACAAAAGTAAAAAATATTTTCGTTAATATTTTTTCGTTTTATTTTTTTGATGATATTATTTTCTTCTTTTTATTTATTTATTTTTTTTTTATGATATTAATTTCTTCTTTCTACTTTTTTTTTAAGACAAAAAATAAAATCGCAGAATAGCATCCCCAAGCTCAATTCTAACTTGAGACGTCCCAAGAAGAAATGTAGTTGATAACCACGACAGCCCATCGCTACGTGTGGACTACCTTTGTACAATAATTGTTTATATTGAATAACGTTTCAACGTTATATCAGTCCGCTCAAATCCCACATCGAAGAATCAAACAAACTTAAGAGCTATAAATACCTCTTCAATAGCATTACCAGCGTGATTGAGAGAAGGGGTACACTTGCAGTCTTACCTTTTAAACTGAATTGCCAAAATATCCTTGTTCCGAGACTCGCCGACCTATGACGTCATAAGCCGCTTATAATCGCGATTTATGATGTGATATGAACGATTTACTATTCAAAATCGCCGATTCTCTTCTAGAACCGGGCGATTTCCTGTTTTACACAAGAATCGACACGGGGTGACCGATTCCCGTGTCGACTAGGGTGAGTCCGTTGCGACTCGCCGATTTTTAAAACCCTGGGTGAAACAAATTTTAGTTATAAAGTAATCTACCCATTTCTTGTTTGAGATGTTCATTTCCATTTGGTCCTTGACATTAAGTTTTTGTCATTAATTTTTATTTCTGTTTGCATGATGCATTTGTTATTTGTCTATAAAGCGTACTTGGATTTCTACGATTCTTCTTTGTTATTTGAAAACTTCATATTCTCATGTGAAGTGAATTCTGCTGATTAAATACCAGGGGGCTTGGGAAGACTATTCAAACAATTGCATTCCTGGTTGCTGTGCTTGGAGCAGATGCAGAACATAGTGAAAATCAGATGCTTACGGGGGACATTTTGAAAAATAAGAGCCTCACGTTGATAGTCTGTCCTACTTCCATTATTCAGAATTGGGAAAATGAATTTTCAGAATGGGGGAGTTTTGATGTTGCTGTTTATCATGGCTCAAACCGTGATCTTATTCTAGATAAAATAAAAACAAAGCATGTTGAGATCCTAATAACTAGTTTTGACACATTCAGGATTTATGATACCATCCTTTCTGAGGTTGAATGGGATATTGTGATTGTTGATGAGGCACACCGATTGAAAAATGAGAAATCCAAGGTTTACAAAGCTTTGTCAAGAATCAGAACTAACAAGCGCTATGGGCTTACTGGAACAATAATGCAGAATAAAATTTTAGAGTTGTTTAATCTTTTTGATTGGGTTGCTCCTGGCTCCTTAGGAACTCGTGAGCATTTTAGAGAATTTTATGATGAGCCCTTGAAGCACGGTCAGAGGTTAAGTGCTCCTGAAAGGTTTGTGCGGATTGCTGATAAGCGTAAGAATCATCTAGTTGCAGTTTTAAGTAAATATTTGTTAAGGAGGACTAAGGAGGAGACAATCGGTCACCTTATGATGGGGAAGGAGGATAATGTTGTCTTTTGTGCCATGAGCGAAGTGCAAAAGCGTGTATATAAGAGGGTGCTTGAATTGCCAGATATTCAATGTCTTATGGATAAGGATCTGCCATGTACTTGTGGAAGCCCCTTAACTAGGGTTGAGTGTTGCCATAGAACTGTTCCCAGTGGGATTATCTGGTCTTATCTTCATAGAGAGAATCCTGAAGGGTGTGACTCATGCCCATATTGCCTAGTTCTTCCTTGTCTTGTGAAGCTTCAGCAGGTAACCAAAAGTTGGACTTTCAATGGAGAAAATATTATAGTCCCTAGGAGTACGGAAAAACCACAGTTTTAGGGTCATTGCCATTTCCGTTGAAATTAATGGATTGTGATGGAGAGATATTGGGATACACCAGAGCAAGAGATGACATAGGTGGTGGGTCCCACTCTCTCTTCCTCAACATCGATCTCAAGGGATGTTATCAACCCTAATGAATGTCTCTTCCGTAGTACTTAGGATTATAATGTAGTGTTCCCATATTTAAGGCCATATGCTTGTATCAGATATATTTATTTATGAATGTGGATTTGGATTTCTCTCAGATCAGCAACCATTTAGAGCTGATTAAACCTCATCCTAGGGATGATGTGGATAAACAAAAAAAAGATGCTGATTTTGCTGCTACTGTGTTTGCGAGAGATGCCGAATTGGTTGGTGGCATTACTCAAAATGAGAGTTTTGTCGGTCTTAGTGATTCTGAGCACTGTGGAAAATTGCGTGCTTTGGAAAGGCTACTGTTTTCGTGGATTTCACGTGGTGACAAAATTCTTCTATTCAGCTATTCTGTAAGGTGATGTTTTACATCTATAACTTATAACTAATGTTGTTTTACTTTTTTTCACATGCTTTAATCCACCCAAATTACACCCGAGTAGTTCTAAATCCATTTATGAAAAATTTGAGGAGTTTGAGGACATGTTTAGGCTTTCTATTGGTTGTACTTTTCTATAAGCTGGCATCCACATGTCTTCTATTTGCAACACAATGGGAGATTCAAAGAAGCTTGGCATCATATTTTCACCCTTCACAATCCCTAAGAGGGCAGGCATAATGTAGAATGATATTTAAGAAGCTTTCAGTATTAACCTAGGTACACTTATTTGTGTCAAGGTATTCACTTTTTTCCCTCCAATTTATTTCAATAACAAATGCTAATTGATTGCTCCTCTTAGGAATTAAGTGAGCTTGAAATATGTATTTGAAGTTACGGTTACTGCTAACTGAGCTACTGTGCAGAAGGTTCATGATTTTTATGTGCTTTGAACCCAATTCTTCTTTGATTCTGATGTAAGTGTTTTCTTGCAGAATGCTAAACATACTGGAGAAGTTTATAATACGGAAAGGTTATTGCTTTTCCAGGCTTGATGGTTCTACCCCTATTAACTCACGGCAGTCTCTTGTTGATGAATTCAATTCAAGTCCCAGCAAGCAGGTGAATTTTCCAAAAAGCATTAACCGGTTATTAATGGGTGTCATTGTCTGACAGATTGGTTTGAATTATATAGGTATTCCTTATATCAACTCGAGCCGGGGGTCTAGGGCTGAATCTTATGAGTGCAAATCGGGTTGTGATATTTGACCCCAACTGGAATCCTGCACAAGATTTACAGGCACAGGATAGGTCTTTTCGTTATGGGCAAAAACGTCACGTTACAGTCTTTCGTCTTCTGGCAGCTGGTTCTCTAGAGGAGCTTGTGTACACCCGTCAGATATATAAACAGCAACTGTTCAGTATTGCTGTTTCGGGAAACATGGAAAAACGATATTTCGAAGGTGTTCAGGTTGATTACTTTGAATTCAATAATGTTGTTACTAATGATTTCTTGAATGGAAAGTATATGATACATATAAGGTGTATGGTATATATTCCCTTCGTGCCTATAATAGATGTTATGTCTTGGTTAATATAGTTTGTGTTTCTTTTCAAGAAATGTGTTCTTTTGGTTTGACCACAGGACTGCAAAAATTTCAAAGGCGAGCTGTTTGGAATATGTAATCTATTCCGTGACTTGTCAGACAAACGTTTCGCAAGTGAGATCATTGAACAACAAGGCAGACACACACAAGACAAAACAGGATGTGAAACTGATTATGTAACCGAAAGCTTGCATAACAGTTCACAAGTGAATAAAGCATTGCTGTCAAATGGTGAAGCTGCTGTGCAAAGCAAAAGGGAAAGAGAGCCAATGGTAGCAGATCTGCTGGAAGAATTGGGTAAAGTCATAGAGTAGCATGTTTTTTCTTTACCTCTTCTCTTCCCTTGCATGTCTTTGATTGGTGCAAATCTCTGAAATATATTTATTGCATTACTGCAATGAATATTTCTAGTACCTTAATATATGTAAATAAGGTCGCCTCTCCTCCTCCCCGTGGTGAAATGAAAGAAAAAAGAAAGGACCAAGAGATACAGGTACATGTCCAAATCCAAATGTAGAGTTCATTTAATGGAAATAATACAAGTGATGAAGTATTCTTTCTGGACTGGAGTTTCCATGATGGATTTTAGATCAGAGGTTGCGTGTTGGCAAATTGTAAATATGCAGTGCGCAAGTCTTTCCATCCAAAATTCATCTTGTCTCATAAATTTTAGCAGTCTCCAATAATCTGCTTCCAAACAGAAGGTTTCCAGTTATAAAGATTGAGTTATTAAAGAAGTAACAAAAACTGCATAATTGGGATGATGTAATTTGAGAGTTTAAACAATTCAAGGTCCTTCATTGTCTGAAGTAAAAGATTATTGAGACTAAACAGAAGATGATGTGTGGAAATATTATTTGCAAGGTAGATACACACTTGCAATTATGTTGGGTAATTCAGCTTGTATTGGACGCGGCAAGGTCTGAATCCTTGACCTCTTTCCGAAGATATGGTTGTCATATTTTTGAAGGGAAGGCCCACAGACAATATTCACTTGCACTTGCATACATGAAAGCTGAGAGTTAATGTCATATCCTTGCCCAATTGAGAATATAGTCCTGATTATTATTGACTTAATTAAGGATGCCGAATTATATAGGGATTGGGAGGTATGTAAATCTAGCTTTTCCTAGGACTGATAACAGCCATGTAGTGTGAGACATGAGTCATGAGATATTGTATATATTTATGTTTACCTGGGATGCTGCATCTAGAGGCTGCTGCTGTCCAGAATGCCCTATGATATTTCAAAATTAGGCTTCATAATATTGCAATTTCCACATTTGAAGTTTCAAAAAGTGCATCCTTGATTGTACTGCCGATGAAGGAGAAGACAAGAAAAAATTTATGTATATGAATAAACATTAAAAGGATGGATGAATACTTGGGAACTTCTTTTGCACTGATTGAGAAGACCATAGATGAGATGCTTTGAGGGACATAAATGGAGAAGGAGACAAGGTGTAAAGTGTTCCCATAAAGAAATAAAAAAATTTGAATAAAGTGAATAAAAGAGTAGAAATATGAACCAGAAATTCAGGATGTCTACGAATTTAGTGACTTTGGTCAATAATGATTATTTGAAAAGGGCACAGAACGAGTGGAGCACTGAACTATGAGGTAAATGAACGTACCATAAATCCAGGGATGGCCCACTGTTGATGATGTATGTGTCTAGCGAGACAGATGGAGTTGTGTTGAATCTTAATGGTGCTCCCCACAAGAGATTAAGGAAGGTTGAATGCTTTTAGAATTCCATGATAATGATGTAAAAAATTCTGAAAGTTCATTGAGAATAATGAGCTTGTTGATTTACCTCATGACTAGTGCTTTCCATGACAAATCATTATGATTGTTATGCCACTATTAGGATTAATCATTTCATGACATCGATTTTCAGTAGGTACCGTTTTGTGAGTGTAAGATCAAGAGCAGTGGAGCAGCTTTTGCATTCGTGATCATTCCTAACTAGGATTGATCATTTGATGTCTAGGATCATTCAATTTATGATGAGCCATGTGTCTTTTAAGGCATAGGTTTTGTATTTCCCTTCTCTCTTTAAGTGTGGGCAACCAAGGTATTGTCTTGAATATTAGGACAGTAACCGTGAAACACACAATCCTTATTGTTATTCTTGTATTTGCATCCATCATTAGCTGGAACTGTTCTCTTAACCTTCCACAGTCTTAAGCAATTTGTTGAATGTTGCTGTAATTACTAATGAGAGCTCTTTTTCCCTTCTGGCATACTTACTGGAATTTCCTTTTGTTGTTCTTTATAACTTATGGAATGGACTGGTATTTTCCCTTGTTCCTTGCCATTATAAATTATGTTAAAAAGTATTAATTTCTGCACTTACTGCATTTCAATGAACAGGTATCATGTATGCACATAGAAACGAAGATGTTGTCAACTTTGGATCTAACCCCCAAGGGAGAGTAGCGGGTATATGCAAGAGTGTTTCCATGGATTCATCTGACAAAAACACTACAAACCCAAAGAAGAGGAAGCTTAGTGCCCCTGATTTGTTGAATAATACCACTGAATGTGGTAGCAAGTTGAGAAACTGAAAGTAAATAGCCTTGAAGTAGCTGGGCAGAAAGCAAGAGGGACTGTAGGGTGTGAAATAAAAAAGAATGAGGAGAAGAAGAGTCAATATGGCCTCCTAGCTCAGTTCAAGGGCATGGAAAAACTTGAATTTAGCAAATGGTTAATCTCTGCTAAGTCTTCTGAACGCCAGAAATTGCTTCACGATTACAAGAATAAAAAAGAAAGTCACTAGAACAGCAATGTAAATCAGAAAGTGATATTTTTCCTAATTCAGAGGAAGATAATGGTGCCATGTAAATTGAAGAAGCTTCTATAACATGTAAATTATTGTATTTTCATTTTCAAGATGTTTTAGGGTATGGCCCTTGATAGAGCAGAATGACGGATCAGGATTCGTGTAAACAATCCCAAATAGTTGGGAAAAGGTTCTGATGATGATGATAACGATGATAAGGCATTGTTTTCATTTTTCAAAATTTTTTCCCTAAAGGTAAGGTAGTGTTTTTGCCTAGTATCGAATGCTTGCAATGACTACATAACATGATCCCATTGTTCCTTTTGGGCATTGAATAATGTTCCAGCTGCTGCTTGAAACTGGGTTGATTTGAAGAAAACAACATGCATCATGTCATGTTATTTTTTTGCTAGGTATGTCTCCAGTTATATTAGTTGATGAGAGATTTAGAGATGGATTTGAATTTGACGTGAGCTTATTTCTAGAGATGATTGCACTACCTTATGGACTCGCTTATTGCACATTATTCCAACATTTTTACAGACTGAACTACTGAGCATGAAAATAGCATGGTCTTGGTTCTTTTAATACTACCATAAAGAGCTCGTGTGGTTCTTTTCAACAGTACATGGACAAACCAATATAATCCGCAATGATCCTCAATAACTACTCCAAGGTTGGTTTTTGACTTCTCATTGAAAAGACTGATTACTTTTGTTTATCGAAGTGATTTATAATCTCATTTTTCTTACATACTTTTTCTTTAGGTATCATATGTTCTATTCTTACTAGAAAGCACATTGTAAAAATGATCCCTGCTGAGCACACACCATCCATTGGCATTGGACAAACATATTGTCTATGGGATGTATATGACAACCAGATTGTATACTCCACCATCAGACACCTTTGGATTGTGGTTCCTCACCAGGTGGGTTTAATACTATGTGCTTGCTAATCTACATTTACATAAATGGGGTGGGTGGAGATTTGGTATTTTTATTTTTTATTTATTTTTACTTTTTATTTAACTTGCAAATAGAATATGAATGTAATAACAAACATTTGTGGTGGGATATTTTAAAGGGCGTGGTTTGCATAAGGTTGCAACCTTAAACAATCAAAGTAAGGTGCACCTCCAAACTTTGTCATGAGATGTAATTTTGGTGTTGAAAATTTTTAGAATGGGATGATAATATCCTTTTATCTCTAATTATAGAACTTTAAACTCTAAAAATGATTCAATTAGAAAAGATCTATAAACGTATAAAATCTTGAAAATGGACAGTCCAGATAATTTGTTGCAAGATGTACTACTTTTAAGACTTGAATTCTTTTCTCTTCTCTATATCTATATATCTCAATGTCTCGATGATCAATTTGATGCTTTTTCAACAATAAAACACATTCCTAAGGATTCACATGTACATTTCTCGCCCCAAAAAAACCTTTCAAACATCTGGTGTCTAAACTAGAGGTAATTTGGGGATAAAAAGAAATGGATAAAAACAAACAGGGTGAGGTTTGTATAATGTGCCCACCTTATACTGTACAAATAAGGTGCACCTCTAAATTTTATTGCATGGTGTAGTTCATGGGTCAAAACTTTAGGATGGTTTGAAAATCTATGTTTAACCCTAATTCTAAAATTTAAAATTTTAAAAATAGTGTAGATCGAATAGATGTACAAATATTTGAAAATCTTGAAAATAGACGGTCAAAATAACTTGTTACAAAGCACATTATTTTTAGGACTTGAACTTTTTTTTTTTCTGTATATCCATACTATCTCGAGGTTGACATGGTCAATCAGAAGGTTTTCAAACCTCAAAACACCATTTTCTATTGGATTTTTTAGGTGAAACTTAAAGGTTGCAACCTTATATAAATTTCTTTCCACACATATAACCTCAACATAAACTAGAAAATAAGCCATCTTGCTTTTAGATATAGATCTTACAACGGTCTATCTGTAAATTTCCCTCTGTTCCTAAATGACAAGCAAATCAACTTCAATCTCACCATTCAACTTCGTGGTGTAAGTTTGCAACTCACAAGTAAAGCCAACTCAATCACCATATCAATATGTACAAAGTAAGCATTCAACGCATCATCAGGTCTAATGACTATACTGGACCAGCTGCTGCGTAGCATTATGAGGATCACTATGCAAACCTGGCAGAATAGACCACAAATAAGCCCAAGCCAAAGTCCCTGCACACGCAAGACACATACATGATTGACATCAGTATCTCTCTCTTAAAATCTTCCATGATAGATAGAAACAACATCAATTGATTATCCCCCACATCATGACATTGCCCAACCAGATAAAGGTAGAAGTATCAAAGATAAGGAGATCAACTCCATAGTATTACATTGTGTAGTGCCCTTTTTATGATTTACAGTGGAAGCGATTGTTCCACCATGTTCCTTTCCTTCTCTTTTAGTGTAAGTTCCTTGCTGTCTTTTTATGCAACCAGGTTCAGTTGGACATTCCAAAGCAGAAAAGCATAGATCTTAGCATGCAAAATCATTCATACCACTTGATCTCTCTTTAACAAAACAATGCTTGGATTTGATAAAGAAGTTGGTACTAGAAAGGTTAAATGGTTCTGAATTCACAATGGTTATGAATCCACAATAGGAAGATTCATAGAGAATAATGAATGCCTAAACACCATTTGACAATGATAAAGAAAGGACAATTTAAGTACAGTCCTGCCGTTTCATCACTTTGCCTAAATGATAACCATCCTCTTTTACCCCTATGCACAAGTATGAGTGTAGTGCACGGACACACAAAAAAACCATCATCTTGAACCATCATTCCTGACTCTCCATTCCCAAACAATAAAAGTGCAGATAAAAAACAGTGCGGGGTTTTGTTTTGGTTGTGGGAGCAAGGGGTGAAACCTATTACCAGTTTTCCCTACATCCTTTCTATTCACCCAAAAATACATCCTTTCCTTTTCCCTTACATCCTTACCCTTTGCTTGTCCGCTTTTGATCTTTTTGACCTCCCCAGCTTCTCCACAACCTGCTTACTGTTTAGTACCAGAACTCAATGGATCTAGCACTCATTCATTAAGGAGCAGTTTATTTTGAAGTGATTGTAGCACTTTGGTCAATGGTGTGGTTTAGTGGCAGCTCTACCTTACTTTGTAGAAGCATCATGCACAAAGTATACAAGCAAGCTTATGCAAAAGCATGGTAGTTTTTCTTCTGAAGTATAATCCCAAGTATGAAAACTCATGGGATTACACAAGCACTTCCCATGCAAAGATACTTCTCAGCTGGATTAACCTGAACATTTCACTGGAAGAACAAGCATTTCATTTGATGAAGGTCAGAGATATTTGATATGTCACTGTGCACCCTTTTCCAGCCCTCTCAAATTGGTCTTCCTCAGCTGCAACTTGGGAAAGATTCTGCAATTAGCAATATTTACCTTGAAGTGGTGCCTGTATTTTATCTAAACCCTTCCCTTATCATAGGCCAATTGAGAGTATCCCTGCCAATGGAAAGGCCATACTCATTATTTGCCAACCTGAAAACTTGAAGCCAATTTGACAAGAATTGGGCCGTGCTGAACTGTGACCAGATCAAGTTGACTACAAAACAACCGTTATAGGCCTCATATGGCCCTCAAAGAACAGAAGTTCAATGGAATTAGGACCCAAGCTGATGTACTACAAACAAAACTCTTTTAACTCTTTCCCCGGTCAGGTTGAGCCCACGACATTTGCAAACTATGGCCGAATTTCTTGGCCTCAGCAGGGTGACGAGTATTGCATTAAAAAGGGTGGACGTGGGTACCTGTCTAGTACAAGGGAAGTACTGTACAAACTCACCATAGCCCTGGACAACTTGGCCAGGCTTGCCCAAGTTCTACAGTACTCTGACAAGTCACTAAAGCACTCGCCGGAGTAATTCACAGAATCACACGAGCAATCTGAACAGTCAAAACAGAAGCCTGCTCTAAGTGGCCAGCAGTTTGCCATGTTCACACTAATCAGTATGGCTTATCTCCATCGTTGGATGGGTGATGTTGTGAACTATCAGCTTGTCCTTCCTTGTTGTCAGTGGATTCATATGCAAGATAAGACTTCCACGTCTCAGCTTTTTCAACCCTCGCTCTCTCTCTCTCACTTCCATGACTCACCTTCTTCTACTCCTCTCTTCCATATTTCAGCTTTTTCTAGTCCCTCTCCCTTCCATGTTTCGGCTTCCTCTACCCCTCTCTCTCAGAGTGACTGCAGCTCCCCTTCATGGATACCCACACTGAACTCACAAAAATACTAAAATTTACCAAAACTTTGACCTTTTACTTCAAAATTTGAAATCCTTCTCTCTCCTATCCGTCTCTCTCAACAATTGGGCTTCCCATTCTTGAATACCCATACTGGACCCAAAAAACACTAAAATTTATCAAAAGTTTGATTTCTCTCTTCAAATCTCTCTCTCTAATACACAATACTAAAATTTATCAAAAGTTTGATTTCTCTCTTCAAAGTTCCCTCTCTCTCTCTCTCTCTCTCTCTCTCTCTCTCTCTCCTGCTATGATTTTTTTTACCTTTTTTTTGCCCTTTTCGAACTCAGTGCACTCGGTTGGGCTAGTGGCTGACTTCTACAGCTTAGCTGTGTTTTCTGACATGGGGCCATACTTTTGGACATGTTAAGATTACCATCGAATTCCATTCATTGCAATTTTTTTTTTTTCCAGAGATCTTTCTTGTGCCATAAATCACAATGGTTCTTAGTTTGGTAAATCTACAAAATGTCTTGATTGCTTTTCTGTTTACATGACTTCCAACATTCACAAAACCCTAAGATGGGTAATGATTGTTGAGGCTTTTGTATTGTATCAGAAAGATTTGTGTGATAAATAATGTGGAGTAATCACTCATATACAGTTTCACTCATGCAAAAATGAGCAAGCTATACAATTGGGCAATACAAAGAACACAAAAATAACACATCAACAGAAGTTCATGATTCGTTTCTTAATTCAACTAAATAGAGTAATTCTTTTCTTAATTTAACTTGCAACTAGTATATATACTGTAAATCCTTGAAGTCCACGATTCTTTTCTTAATTTAACTTGCAACAGTCTAGTATATAAATCCATAAAGTCCATGCACAGTGATGATTTTTTATCAAAACCTTCAATGTGAAGTGAAATAAAAACTAACGTGAGCATGAAGTTCCAACTTGAATGCAAGAAAAACTGCTATTGGAACTCCAACTCCATAGAAGGCTGCTAAGTTGGTCCATGCAGTCAAGTGCTGCCATCCACAACCTCGAACGACTCCTGCATGTCAAATGTG